GTTAAGCTTGGAGAGTAATTATACATTCTTATTGCTCAGAGTAGAGTCCAATAGTTTTATGAAAACCACGGAGAATTCCAGTAAGATATCTTTAATCATTTCTAAGATACAACAGTTCAGAGCTTAATTTACCAATTGGACAATTTTGTTGTTATACTATTTGGACAATTTTGCTGTTATACCGATATATATATATATATATATATATATATATATATATATATATATATATATATATATATATATTTATATTGTTTTATCTTTTTACTGTTTATATTTGTGTAAAGGGTAACGTAAAACTAAACAGATAGTAATTTCAAATCGCATGGGTAACTTCGTTGGAACTTAATCATTAGCGTCGCTTAAACCCTACGATTAGTAACCTTTAGGTGAATATTGCAAATCATTATTGGTGCAATGCGGTCTACACGCACCATAATGTTAGCGTTTTGTGAAATTTATATAAAATATATAGTCAATGGAAACTGAAGATTTATTTGTTGAAAGAATGCAATATCTACCTGCAGAGTCAGGTTGAAAACCTCTTCGTACTACACATATTGTACAACAGCAACCATTATTGTCACAAAGGACGAGAAGCCGTGGAAAGCTATGGCTGCCCACGTTTTTGATGGGCGCGAAATATAAAAGAAGGAACGTGGCAAATGTTTTTTTTTTTTTTATTTTTCTCATTGCACTGACTTCACAAATACTCCGACATTGCTTTGATTAGTTTTAGCAATTTTTACACAGTAATCGATTTTCTTCGGCAGCGTGAAAAAAATCGACGATTAAACACCACATTTTGGAAGTGTTAGCCTTAGAATTTAAGTTTATGTTATGGTGGAACACACCTATTCTATAGTTAATAGACTCTCCCACCTATAATAAGTAAGAGTAGTAAGAGTAACGAGTCAGTCAGTCAGTCAGTCGTTCACTTTTGAACCGACTGCTCGGTTTGAACTCTCTTCCTACGGGCGGGAGGAACCCTACTACGCCGAAGGGGAGGAACCCGTTTATACGGGTTCAAATGGGCTAGGAGCCTAATGGCTCGAGAATGCCCACGTTAAAAGGCCTTGTGCCACATGACACCCCTCGAAGGGCTGAATATTGTCCAGTCAGTCGTTCACTTTTTGAACCGACTGCTCGGTTTGAACTCTCTTCCTACGGGCGGGAAGAACCCGGGAGGCTAAAATCTCCTTCGGGGAAAATAAAACTGGACCCGTTTATACGGGTTCAAATGGGCTATTTTTGGCCGAGCCTAATGGCTCGAGAATGCCCACGTTAAAAAGGCCTTGTGCCACATGACACCCTCGTGGTGGGTGACTGAATATCGTCAGTCAGTCAGTCAGTCGACTGGCTGAATATCGTCAGTCAGTCAGTCAGTCGACTGGCTGATCGGTTGAACTCTCTGCCTTCGGGCGAAGAGGAACCCGAAAGAAGCTACGCCGAAGGGCGGATTCTCTTTCGGGAAGGTAAACCGACCCTGAACCCGTTTATACAGGTTCAATGGACATATTTTTGGTCGAGCTCACGGGCTCGGAGATCCCACGTTGTAAAGGCCTTGTGTCACATGACGCCCTCGTGGTGGTGGTGATAGGAGAGTGACTGAATATCGTCAGTCTGTCAGTCTACCGGCTGATCGGTTGAACGCTCTGCGTTCGGGCGGGGAGGAACCCGAACGAGGCTACGCCGAAAGGTGGATTCACTTTCGGGGCGGTAAACCGACCCTGAACCCGTTTATACGAGTTCAATGGGCATATTTTTGGCCGAGCCCACGGAGAGCCCACGTTAAAAAGGCCTTGTACCACATGACGCCCTCGTGGTGGGGAGTGACTGAATATCCTCAATCAGTGAGCCGATGTCAGACGACAGTTAGTCGAATACGAAAGTATCAGCGACCACAACAAGATTACTCTGCGTAACCCCAATTATTCAATAGTTCCTAACGTTTTGTACGTCGAACCTATTTTAGGACCGATTTAGTACCAATACAAGCCTCCACTGCGAAATAACTCCACAACAGTTTATTTCGACAATTAATATGTATAGAAAATAATGAAAAAAGTAAATGTCTTCTGTTAGGAATTAAGCACTACTAACAGAAGAAAGATTTTAAGTTTTCATGTATTTATTTAATAAATTTGTCTTTCACAGGAATTTATTTTGCAATAACGTACGAGGACGAGGAAACTTCAAATTTAATTTAATTTGAGACACAATTTCATTTAAGTTGTTAATGTTGGTAATGTTTTATGACTGACATGTATTTGTTTTGCTGATAAATTAAAGTTTTGGAGCAGAACATAAAAAAGGAACATTCACCTTCATTCTTAAGGAGACAGCAACCAATAGCAATGGCCTTTGTTTCAGTCAACGGTAGTCAAAATATTTCTTTCTGAGCTTTTGTCAAAATTTGTTCCCAGGATACTGACATAAAATCCCCAAAATGATAAACAGTCAACTCTCTTTCTTTCACGAGATTCTAGCTTTCACCAACGTTCTTTTTCACCACAAATTAACAGTGCCTCGGGAAACAAAATTCATAAATAATTTTTCTTTTTCACAACCCATTTTAGCCATAGGACATCTGGGTCCTACGTGATGCGAAAAAGTGTGGGTTGACTGTAGAAATGTTTCAAAAGCTGTTTAATAAAATGAAACGCACAAATTCTTTTCTCCTTGGTCCATTAATCAAATTTAATTAAGGTGGGATCTAATTAGCTGAAATCAATTCTATGAATTTGATTTAAACTTTGTTACGATTACGTGTTTTTTTTTTTAATCCTAAGATTGTTTTTTGTGTTGTGTGACATTTCTTTATCGTTACCCATCAAAAGAATGTTAATATTATAATGGCGACTCTATCAAAAGGGTTTGGACAATGTGACAGGTTGTATAAATAATTAAAGAAAAATAAACGAATATATGCCGCATATTCTCGTGCACAAATCTGATAAGACAACCTTTGTTCTGCTATAAAATCAGTATATATCTCTTGTACAGGGTTGATCCCGGTCTTTCAATTAAAAAAGATAATTTACACCTAAGCAAGGGAATAAATCTACTAAGACGCAAAGATTGAATGAATCTTAGAAAACGTTACTGTGGAGAAACGAAAATAAATGAACAGGTTTCAAAGAAGCAATAGATGACGATTGATATTACATTTAAATATTTGAAGACCGTAATTGACAGGAAAGCAAGATGTCAAAAAAGAGACCCGCAGACGATTAGTTGATCGGTTAATTTTAGCGGCAGATCAACATTTCTATGGGTTATTTAATGCCGAAATCTAAATATTTTATACGTAATTTTATGCTTTCGAAACATAAGCCAGGTTGACAGAGGGGTTCGTATTTGGCCGGAAGTGGAGTAATTGTATATGATGTTCTATTTATGTGTAGTTTGTGTGTGTATCTTACTAATTAACCCAGAAGAAAAGAGGTGGATCCATACCTTTCCCAAGGGTATGTCCACATAACTAAACACAAATAACCTGACTAGAATTGGAACATGGCTCTCCGATTTCCAATTTAGATTACACCACCCGCACACCCAGCGTTTTTTGTATTTACTCACCCCCACCATCCCACGAGGTCAGCCTATGACACAAAGTCAGTTTAATGTGTTCAGCCCGAGCACGTACGCCCGGGCTAGAAATAAAAATTTCCCGAGCCCCCGTAACCGTCGGTTGCACTGGCCATGGTGCGAGCACCAATCCCTCTCTCTGGTGCAATGCGAGGGCGCGACCACAGGCAGCGGTTCTCCAGGGCTCGGCACATCTCAGTATAATTTTCCTCACTTGCGACTCTGTCCTTCGACGGAGCCGCCCCTGAGCACACTCAGGCGCAAATGAGAGATGATAAATAAACGTGTTACAAACTACTTTAGGGTAATTTAAATACCCAGAGTTACAGCTCCTGGTATTCCCAAGCCGTAAACAACGGAGGTGTTAAGCAGGCTCGATATTGTTTAATTTCAGTGATCGTATAAGAACCGGTCTTCGAACATTAGCTTTTAAATATATACAAGGCGTACTGAAGAGGTTTTGAGAATTATCAGGAGAGACATATATTTATTGTAAAAAAAATTACGAATGTCTAATCTCTTTCAAAATAGGCCTCTCCATCATCAATACACTCCAGCCACTTCTTCATGGTCGTCACTGTAACAACACAATATCCTGTAACTATCTATACTCACATGTATTTTATGGGTTTCATTAAACAATCAGCAAGTGGCATTAAATATCAGTATGTCTTCTGCCTCGAACTTTCATGCCAGAAGCCATTTTTACAGATAGCCGATCAGATTTTCTTCTAAGCAGGGAAACAATTATGAACAATTGGTAGACGATTTCAACTTCCACTGCAATGCCATCAAAATCCACAAGAAAGATTTGGCAAGCAAACTTTCTGGCTCAACTCTAATTTCTCGCTGAAGCTGCTTTTCCACACTCATCGGGACAAGCATGGATCCACTTAGTCTTTGTTCAATCATCGACAAATGTCTTGATAACATCTTGTCATCGGTGAAATGCCCTGTTAGCTATAGGACATGAACAAGAATGTGGAAAAATCACTCACCCATACCTATCTTAAATACGCATGCAGCAAATTTGAAAGCTGTTCACTGAACAGCCAGATTTACCAATGTCTGATAAATAGATCAATCTCTCATAATTGCCATGTCTATTTATATAGATAAAGAGATTCGTATTAATTTAGATAAATCGATAGGCAGACGTGACTATAGTGATCTAAAGTTTTCTCGTCTTGCCGCAGAAGCGCCAATCTCACTAATGAGTGGATCAGGAAATCTTGAAGAATTCCTTAATCATCTCAAGATGGTATATTTGCGTCGAGATATAAATGAGATGCGAGTTAAAACAGTATGTATCCATTCACCCACGCAGACTGAAGTTATCAAAAAAAGACTATTTTTATAAACGTTAGAACACATATGTTCCTATATGGATTAGATATAAAAGTTGCTCAATGCGTTCACGTTCGTCCTACCGCTTTCAAGACCTGCTAACCAACAAGTGTTTGGGAGATACGTATCAGGATTCTATGTGGGTAAAAATGTATAAATGTAGATTAAAGGTGAATTCACTGTTTTCGGTCATATCCTGAAGAGACACAGCCAATAGAAGGAGAATAATTCTAGTCTTTGGATCTTGATCGAGGAATCTTATCAGGTGTATGGCAGAAAGTCTGTTTGTATATCATTCGCTTTATAACAAAAATAGATGCTGATGAATATGAAATTGATGCGCGGAGGTCTGCCTGTGTGTGTCTGCATGTTTGCATATGTCTGAGTGTGTGCAATTTTCTATGTGTGTGTAGTTTGTTTGTGAGCGTGTTTGAGTCGGTGCAGACGCAATGCGGTAGACAACAATATTTTTAGCGTTGGTCTGAAGAAATACACACGTTTATAAATCAT